GACCCCAAACTTGATAGGGGCCTGTTAAAAGTTAGAGATCCTGAATTTTAAGCTCAGTTAACCTCACTGTATCTCTTTCTAACTCTATATATCTCTATCTCTATCTCTGTCTCTCTCTCTCTCTCTCACACACACACACACACCACCTCGTCTCTCCTTTGACTTCTCTTTGGATTTCTGGTTCTGTTTTGCTTAGTTGTTTGTTTGTTTTTCTCTCTATGCAGTTCCTGCAGACTGCCTTTCTCTGCTTATCTACGCACATGGCCCAGAGATGGCTGCCTGGAGCCCCCTCTACATATTCCCTGTAGAAAGACTATACTTTCAGGGATCATTTCTATAGTTTGTTATGTATTCCCTGTAGAATTGCTAAGTACCAGCTCACTAACATCTATCTGTCCATTTTCCAGAGAGAAGCTAATTGCTCTTCCCTCCACTTTATTAACTGGCTTTCTTTGATTCGGGTTTTCAACTGTGATCCAATAAGCTGTACCAAGTATAAGTAAAGTCCCACAGAACAAGAGCCTCTTTAGGCCCCATACTATACGTGGATAAAGGATTGAATAATCCATGAGAAATAGGAATGGGCTAACCTGATACCTCAAAAGGCAGTATACTACAGCAAAGTTGGTAGGTTCAAGCAATAGGTACAGCAGCCCTCGCCAAACACTTCATACGCAAATATATTGTGGATTTTTCTCTAAGAACATATATCTTATTTCCCAAAGTTGTAATCATAGGGATCCTATTTCAGGGGGAGGTAGGGGAGGTGGGGATCCTATTTCAGTGGTTCATAGCCCTAGAATTCTGAGGAACACATTTTGGGGAATTCTGGATTAAATAATAGTAGTGTAATTATTAACTCAGTGAAGTAATATTGTTTGTCTCAGGGTGGCACCATTCTAAGCATTTTCATAATCCTTATATCAGTTACATGTGGCAGGTTCTGTTCTTAAAAATAAAGAGACTGAGGCATGAAAGAAGTTGAGCCATTTGCCCAAAGTTGAACAACCTAAAGAGTGGGGGTGCTTGACTGGCATCAGGCAAAGTTTCATGCTTAACCTCTGTGCATTATACTGAAGTCTATTAAGTGTGCAATAGCATTATGTATTAAAAAACAAGGTACATATCCTAATTTAAAAAAATTATTGCTAAAAATTGCTAATAATCATCTGAACTTTCAGTGAGCTGTAATCTTTTTGCTGGTGGAGGGTTTTGCCTCAGTGTTGATGGTTGCTGACTGTCAGGATGGTGGTTGCTGAAGGCTGGGGTGGCTGTGCAATTTCTTAAAATAAGACAACAGTGAAGTTCACTGCCTCAATAGACTCTCCCTTTCACAGCTAATTTCTCTGTACCATGTGATGATCTTTGATAGCATTTTACTCATAGTAGAATTTCTTTCAAAACTGGAGTCAATCCTCTCAAACCCTGCTGCTGCTTCGTCAACTAAGTTTATGTAATATTACAAATCCTTTGTTGTCATTTAAACAATCTGCACAATATCTTCACCAGGAGTAGATTCCATCTCAAGAAACCACTTCCTTTGCTCATCCATGAAAAACAATTCCTTATCCATTAAAGTTTTATCATGAGATTGCAGCAATTCAATCACATCTTCAGCCTCCACTTTTTTTTAAGATTTATTTATTTTATTTATTTTTTTAAGATTTATTTATTTATTTTAGAGAGAGGAAGAGCACAGGGGAGGGGCAGAGGGAGAGAATCTTCAAGCAGACTCCCCACTGAGCAGGGAGCCCGACACGGGGCTTGAACTCACAACCCATGAGATCACAACCTGAGTCGAAACCAAGAGCTGGACAGTTAACTGACAGGCACCCATGCACCCCCAGGATCTACCTCTGATTCTAGTTCTCTTGCTGTTTCCACCACATCAACAGTTCTATCCTTCACTGAAGTCTTGAACCCCTCCAGGTCATCCATGAGGATTAGAATCAGTTTCTTCCAAATTCCCATTAATGTTAACATTTTGGCCTCTTCCATGAGTTACAAATGTTCTTAATGACATCTAAAATGGTGAATCCTTTCCAGAAGATTTTCAATTTACTGTGCTTAGATTCATCAGAGGAATCACTATGTATGGCAGCTATAGCCTTATGAAATGTATTTCTTAAATAATAAGACCTGAAAGTCAAAATTACTCTTTGATCCGTGGGCTGCAGAATGGATGTTGTGTTAGCAGGCATGGAAACATTAATAATGTTTCACATCTCCGTTAGAGCTCTCGAGTGACCAGGAGTATTGTCAATGAGCAATCATATTTTGGAAAGGAATCCTTTTTTTTCTGAGCAGATCTCAACAGTGGGACTAAAATATTAAGTAAACCATGTTGTAAACAGATGTGCCATCACCCAGGCTTTGTTGTTCCATGTATAGCGCACAGACAGAGTAAATCTGGCATAATTCTTAAGGGCCCTAGGAGTTTTGGAATGGTAAATGAGCATTGGTTTCAACTTAAAGTCACCAGCTTCATTAGCCCCTAACAAGAGAATAACCCTGTCTTTGACACTTTAAAACCAGGCATTGATTTTTCTTCTCTAGCTATGAAAGTCCCGAATGGCATCTTCTTTCAATAGAAGACTGTTTCACCTATATTGAAAATCTGTTGTTTGGTGTAGCCACCCTCATTAATAATCTTAGCTAGATCTTCTAAATAATTTACTACAGATTCTACATCATCACTGCTTCACCTTGCACTTTTACGTTATAGAGATGACTTCTTTCCTTAAACCTCATGAACCAACCTCTGCTAGCTTAAATTTTCTGTAGCTCCCTCACCTCTTTCAGCCTTCACAGAATTGAAGTTAGGACCTTGCTCTGGATTAGGCTTTGGCTTAAGGCAATGCTGTGACTTGTTTGATCTTCTATCTAGACCACTAGAACTTTCTCCATATAAGCAGTAAGGCTGTTTCACTTTCTTATCATTTGTGTGTTCACTGGAGTAACACTTTTAATTTCCCTCAAGAACTTTTCCTTTGCATTCACAAGTTGGCCCACAGTTTGGTACCTAGCTTTGGTACCTAGTTTGGAGACCTAGCTTTGAGCCTATCTCATGTCTTTCTCTACTTTCAACGTCTTCCTCAATAAGCTTAATCATTTCTAGCTTTTGACTTAAAGTGACACAGATCTGCAACTCTTCCTTCTGCTTGAACACTTAAAGACCATCATAGGGTTATTGACCTAATTCCCATACTGATGTGTCTCAGGGAATATGGAGGTCTGAGGAGAGAGAGACAGGGAAGCAGCTGGTTGGTGGAACAGTCAGGACACACATATATTAAGTTCACCATCTTACGTAGGGGCAGTTTGTGGCACCCCAAAACAATTGGTTTGGTAACATCAAAGATCACTGATCAAGAGCACCATAACAAATATAATAAAAAATATGAAATACTGCTAGAATTGCAAAATGTGACAGACACAAAGTGAGTAAATGCTGTTGGAAAAATTGTGCTGATAGACTTGCTTAGCAGAGTGTTGCCACAAACCTTTAAATTGAAAAAAAAAAAAAGCAACACTGCAAAGTGCAATGAAGTGAAGCACAATAAAATGAGGTATATTCTGCTATATGTGAAATAACTGTTTCAATATCAAGTAGGATGATTGCTGTTCCTTGTTTCTTTTGCTTTGTTACAGAATAGTATCCCATCTCATCACCTGCACTTTTGCCTTTGAATCCTGCATCCTTAGTGTCTCCCAAGGCCTTAGAGTTAAAAGACGGGTTTCCACTTCCTTTCAATGAAAAGAAATGTTTGGTTTCTTTTTAAAAAGATTTTATTTATTTATTTGACAGAGATAGCGAGAGCAGGAACACAAGCAGAGGGCGTGGGAGAGGGAGAAGCAGGCTTCGGGTGGACCAGGGAGCCCAATGCAAGGCTCCATCCGAGGACCTGAGCCGAAGGCAGACGCTTAACAACTGAGCCACCCAGGCAGCCCAATGAAAAGAAATGCTTAAATACACTCTTATTCTTCAGTGTTCTGGGTCATTTAATAAAGTAAACAAAATTTTCCTTGTTTCTCATTTCATGAGGAACAAATGGTTTCTCTTGCCAGGGTCCACTCTAGAACCTCAAATTATTGAAATAGAAGATCCGAGAACCTCTAGATTAACAGAAGAAAGATAAAGTGCACATAGGCATAAATGCCTTACTCTTTCATAAAAATGGAGGCTTATATGCCACCTGCTTTCATTTGAGTTATTGTATATTGTTTGTCCTCAAGAGAAAGCATGCTTCGATAGTGTTCTTTTCCATGAACTATGTCTCCGTATCTGCCTATATACACCTAGGTAGAAAATTAAAAGGACATGTAGAAAATTTTCAGAATGTAAAATAATGTACCATTTCAAATAATCCTGTATTATTAGCATACACTCGAAAGAACAGATTATTATAGTAAAAAAAAAAAAAAAAAAAAAGCCTCTTCCTGAGTTCCGTGGCTGAGTTTCGTGTCACGGTAGAATACTTGGGGAAGACTAACCGGACTGAGGATTTCTGGAGCTGATACCTGATCTGGTTTCAAACACTACGTAAACCAGCCTAAGTAAGCAGGCATTCCCCATCCAGGAGACACCAACGGGATCGTGTGTTTTTGCTTTATGAATCCCAAGCAAATAACTCTTGTGTTCCATGCACGATGCCTTTCACTTGCAGTCCGTGATAATCTTTCATCGTTTAATAAATATATATTGAGCGTCTACAATTTGCCAGTCTGTGATGCTGCAGGGACGAAAACACCAACCCGGTTCCTATGGTGCTTACACCAACAGGAGATACCGCCTACCTATCCAAAAGAAGAAAATCTCGTCCCATAACCTAAATTTGTAAAACCTGACTCAGGGAAAAGGAAGGGCACGCACGCCTTGGAGCGGCTGGAAGTGAAAATTCCGCCGGCGGCCAGCGCCGACAAAGGCAACCGGCCCGCAGCGCGTCGCTGGGAGCGGCGCGCCACTGTGACGCGCAGGCCTCGCCCCCTGCTCCCTTCAGAGCGCGCCCGCCCCCGCGAGCGAAGTGCGCAGACTCCTCGGCCCGGCTCCGGTTCTGTCGGGACGCCGCCGAGCCCGCGACGTCGCCTCCCGGTGAGTTTCTGAGGGGGCCGCCAGGCCTTGTCCTTCCGCAGTGGCCGCGCCGGCAGCAAGGCGCTGCAGCCGCAGTCCCGGCCGCGCTGTTTGGTAAACAGAAGCCCCAGAGTGCCCGGAGCGTGCAGCCCCTCGCTCGGCCCGGCCAGCCCCGGGCGTGAACCGAGCTGACGGAGGATGGCAGCCTCCGGGGTGGAGAAGAGCAGCAAGAAGAAGACCGAGAAGAAACTTGCTGCTCGAGAAGAAGCTAAATTGTTGGCGGGCTTCATGGGCGTCATGAATAACATGCGGAAACAGGTACCGCCTTTGTGGGAGTGACGGACGCCAGGGGGGAGGGGGTCCGGGACTCGCGCCCCTGGCTCCCTGGGCCGAAACCGCGCCCGGTGGATCGCGGCTCTCTTCCTCGCCCTTCCTCCCATTTTCGCACGCTAGTCAAGCTGCCGTTTAGTAGAGGGTCGCGTTAAACCGTTGTCGAGCAGCAGCGTCTCCTCGTCTGCGGATGCTGTGGCTCCCAAGTCACACTCCTGGGGGACTCGCCGGGCTGGCATTCGGCGTCGCGTATCGGTTGTATAACAGCTCTGCCCTAGTTATCTCTTTGTGAGGCGAGGATCCCTCCATTGGCGAGCCGCTTTAAGGTGTCGTGAGATCTTGTGCGAAGAAGCCCATTGGCACAGCCCAACCCGAAGCCCCCACAGAAGGGAAAAGCAGTGCTGGCCTGAAATCAGCTACTCTTAAATAACGATCCCCGCCCCTCCTCTGTGTTAGCCGGGTGGAGCTAGTTGAAGACAAATCCTCCTGTACGTGTTAATTTAGAGCAGAAAGAGTCACCGATAAATACCGCTCAGTCTTTTAAGGCCCCTGTGCGCCTCTGTTATTAAGAGGAGCTCTTTGTTGTCTTTGATGTGTGGCGCATTAATGAAAGTCTTCACGTCGGCGAAAGGTGGGTTATGAAAAGAATGGATTTTAACACGGAGAATGTAGACTAGAGAGGTTTTTTGTTTTGTTTTTTTAATTCCATAACATCTTATGCCAAAGAGCATAGGAAAGTCACTTGGTTACTTTTTTTATTCCGTAAGCTTTATTCTAAAAAATACGCATCTAAGGAGATGCGGGAATGTTTCTGTTTTGTAACCCTGGTTCTGTTTTTAAAGAAGACAAAAGCAGGATGTGAGTATGAATAATAGCAAAACCTCGTTTGCTTATCTAGTGGTTCTAATGAGAATATGGAAAACAGTACAGGAATTTAAGATTTGTATGAAGATACTAGTTTCTTTTAAGCAAACTCTGACTGCCGGGATCTTGTCTTTGTTCATCAGCTCCTGGCGTGGTGCATGAATGCAGTAGATACCTGTCCGAATGCCTTTAAATCTTTCCTGGGGCTTTTGTGCTGAAGTAGCTGTGAACGTCTGAATTCAGTATTATGTGTAACTTACTTTCATGTATCTATTTCCATGTATACATTCAAGTTCCTTTCATGTAAAGCTTTTTATATTTACAACACCAGTGACTTCATATCACTGGTGCATTTAACAAGTGTCTGCTTATAAAGGGTGAACAGCCTTCACCAGTGCTCGAATTTGTTTCCAACAGCCCTCTCACTCCCCCTAGATATGTGGTTTTGTCTATGGACACCAGCATGCTGAAGCATTGCCTCATTCCTTATGTAGATAGGGTGCAGCTGGGTTGCAGCATCAGTTGTTTACTTGAGGAAGAGGGGATTTTTCTGAAACTGTACGTTTGGCTCATTGGGTTTAAAAATTGATTCATATCCCGTTCTTAGACTTAGGTTTAGACTATATTAACATATGTTTATTTACTGTTAAGCTAGAAATAAAGTTACTGAACAATCAGGATTCTGTTACTGTTACTTAGTAGGAAGGGGAAAATAGATGCTGGGTGGAACAACCAGGGATCTCTTCCACAGTGGTTAACTGACCTTAATCTGTTAGATTCTGTCTTTGTCAATGGCTTTACATGTTATTCCGGTATTCTCCAATAGAACTTTTACCAACTTCATGGAATCCTGCATCTTTTGCAAGATGTGCAGTTTCACTCTGCAGTTGATTTACGTTGTACTCCTATTGTTCTGAATAACATCATAACACAAGAGGGACTCACCAGGAATGACTGACAAGGGCAGTTGATGGGAATTAGCAGAAATAGAAACCCGTCTGAGCCAACAAAAGAGTGTTTGAGTGAGAACCAATTTTATAAGTGTTCTTGTTCTTTAGTGAATATTGTGACTATTTTTGCTTCCCCATATGACCTCATTACTTTGGGGATCAGAATAATGAGTGCCTGGATGACAAGGACCCCTCTGTACACACCCGGAAACATTCTTACAGGAAGTTGAGAACGCAGTGAAATTAGAATGTCTGAATTCCAGTTCCTGCTCTGCCGTTAGTTTTGTGATCTTAGATAAATATGATTTAGGTTATTTCATCTCTCACTAACCTAGCAGCCAACTCTATACATAGTGGCCAGTGGAGGTTCTTCAGAGCCAGCAGCCTCAGCTTCTTATGGAGCCTTTTCCTTCATCATCCTTGCAGTCATTTCTAGCCTTTTGTTTTTAAAGTCAACTTTCCAATGAAGTATAGGATTCACTAAAAGGATACAAATCATAAACATGCAGCTCAATGAATTATTACAAAATAAACATACCACTGCTGACAAGAAATAGAACATGAGTACACTAGAGGTCCCCCTTTACACTCTTCTCAATCACTAGCCAGCCCCCAAAGGTAACCACTGTTTTAACTTCTATCACCATAGATTTGTTTTCTCCTGTTTTAAAACGTATATAAATGGAATCATACAGTGTATACTCCTGAGTCTTGGTTTCCGAAAGCTTAACATTATTTTTGTGAGATTTATTATGTTCTTTGTAGCTCTAGTACATCCTCATTGAATTTAGTATTCCATTGTAGAAATATACCACAGTTTATCCATTCTATCATTATGGACATTTGAATTATTTCTAGTTTAGCACTATGAAGAATAGTACTACTTTGAACATTTTTCTATATTTTGTACATGTCTTTAGATGTGCACATGTATGCATTTCTGTTGGGAAATATCTAAGAGTGGAGTTGTGGAGTCATAGATTATGCTACACTCAGCTTTAATAGGTACTGTCCTACAGTTTCCAAGGTTGTGACAGTTTACGCTCTTGCCAGCCATGTATTAGGTTTTTACTCTACCGCCTTATCAACACTTGGTATTGTCAGTCTTTATAACATTAGCCATTCTAGTGGGTATATAGTAGCATCTTATTTAATTAGGTTGAGCACCTTTTTATTTTCCTAACTTTTTGTTTAGATTAATTTTATTACTTGATACACTACAGATTGATACACTACAGAGGAGCTCTACAAAGCAGGGCTAGGTCATAGTCACTACTGCTCATATCTAGTTGCTTTTGCTCTTGTGTTAATGAAGTCTAGGAGACCCTTAACATTTGAGGGATATGTTTTGAGACCTTCCTTATTACACCCTGCAGTTGGTTTACGTTGTTTAATAATACCTACCTACTTACCATAGAACGGCAAGTTCAAGAGGCTGATTAAAGGCCGGTGTAGTGATCTACAGTTTACAGTTTCCTCGTGTTAAGTGAATTAAAGCATAATTAGAATTTAGAAGCTTATGTTAAAGACCTATTGAGAATTATGTGAGAACCAAAACTGATTTAAGGAATGGATGCTGAGCAGTCAGCTGAGCTTACTTACTAACTAAAAATGAATCAACTTCTGTACACTCACCTCTTCAAGATTGTAAGTTACTACTAGTCATTGATCTTTAGGGTCTCTTGTGAATAATCTGTACCCTCTGCATTAAATCCTCAGTAATAGAAACACTTCTTGAGCATTTCTTTTCTACCAGCCATTGTGCAATGTGTTTTACATGCTTTGTCTCATTTAATTCTGCCAACAACTCTCATTGACATCTCCTGTCATCCAGACCTTCCTATTTTTAACTCTCTGCTGTCTTCTCCTTTTGTCCAGTTTAGGAGATAATCTCTCTCTTCACTCCCTTTCCAATGCCCCAGGCTTTCTTGACCTTCCATCCTTTTTTCACATCCGTCTGGTAAAAAGCACCGATGACTATTTACCTTTTTGTGCAAGGTTTCCAAGCACAGCTGGAAAATATCCCATTACTGGCAGTTCTTTGCCAGATAAGTCCTAATTTCAACTCAGCTGTCAATACTGGTGATCTCCATTAATTTTACTGTTTTCCTCTAAAATGAGTCCTCTATATTTTCACTTTAAATAGATCACCCCCTTTTGATATCATAAATAAATAGCAGACATTATTTTGGAACTATCTAACTTTTAAATTTCCACCGTCATATCTATACACCTATTTTGACAGTTTTTAATTTTGCTACAGTGAAGAAACTGCCTCTTTTCCATCTAGAGCCAGTACTTTCACTTGGGCTTTGGCTCCCTCAGTATTAACCTAGTCAGAAAAGTTATATTGTTGGTTATTCCATCTCTGTTGAGCATCTTTAACTTCTCCTTCTCTACCTGAGTCTAGCATTTAGGCATGTTTTAATTTCTCTAGCTTTTAAACCAGCCATCCAAACCAGTCCACCTATTCTTTGTCTCAACATTCCTCTATAAATAATAACTCTCTCCCTGCTGTTAAAACCAGAGGGTGGGTAGATTCACTGCCCCCCCCCACCTTTTTTTGGCTCATTGTTGACTTACTCCTCTAGCTCAGTTTGGCTTTCTAACTCATCCATTTGGATGAATACTTACTGAGACCCACTGCATGCTAGGCATTTTGCTAGATTCTATAGTTGCAGTGATGAGCAAAACCAGACAGTCCTTACTCTCATGTGGTTTTAGTCTGGTAGGAGAGTGAGACATTAGTCAAGCAGTCACACAAAAGAAATGTAAAATTGCAACAGTGGTAGGTATTATTAAAGAACGTGATACCATGAGGGGTATGATTGGATGATTTGACCATCAAATCAGGAAGATTTCCCCAAGGAACTGGTAAATGAACTGAGAGCTGAAATAAGAGTAGATGTTAATTAGGCACCTTAAGGAAGAGCTTCTTAGGTAGATGAACAGCAGATGCAAAGGCCCTGAGTCAGAGACCTACTTACCATAGAATGGCAAGTTCAAGAGGCTGATTAAAGGCCGGTGTGACTGGAGCACAGAACATAAGGGGGAGGATGGTGTAAGATGACACTGGAGAAGTAGCTAGAGACCTGCCCATGCACAGTCTCCTAAGTCAAGTTAGGAGGATTTGCCTTTATTCTAAAAACCCTTCAGATGTGTGTTGTGCAAGAG